TTAAAAACGTACTAAGTGAAAAGAAGAGAAAGTTTAAGATTCCCCCCAAAACAGTGTCCAGAGGTACACACTCAGGTCAGGCACCGAGCAGACTGCGTGCCTCAGGAAGGAAGAAGTTTGGAGATCAAGGAAAGGAGGTCTTGAAAGCGAGGCTCCCGGGCGTCCCGGCGCAGTGGTCAGGAGCACGGTTCCCGCGTGGCTCTGAGTCCCAGCCCGGCTGTCTCCGGGCCGCAGGCAAGCGACCGCTTCTCTAGTTAAACTGTCCCGCCCATAAACAGGATTGTGGCTGAGCTACGAAATCTGCAGGCAGACTGTCCTGCCCCTGCCCGTCTGCGTGAGGCTCCGCCCAGGAGAGGCGGGGCCTGTGCCTGCTTTGACCAATAGGCTGCAGAGAAGTTGCTGCTCCGGGATGTGCACGCCCCGGAGGTACAAACCCGGCTAAGGGTGTCTGGTGGGTGCCGGAGTGGCACTGGAAAAGCCTCAGTAAAGCTGGTAAAGCTGCGCTGCCGTGCGGACAGATGCGTCCCGTGTGCCATGCGTGGGTGTGTAAGACCCGGGAAGAGGGATGGGAGATACGGTGCTGCTGTAGGCCACGGAGCTTTGTGTTTAGGGCCACAGATTAAAGTTGCTAAGAGGATTACAAGGGAAAATTTCAAGTGGTATATGGCCTGGCACCTTATAGACATTTGTAGGATGAAAGAGAATAGGGGCCTGCCCAGCCCGATGGTCAGAGGCAGTGGCCACCGCCTCCAGACAGCTGAGCGACCTAGGTCCCAGAGGGCAGCGCACCCCAGGGGCAGCGGGGGCCTCACTGCGGCCTCCACGCCTGCCCGCATCTCTTCATCGAGAGCCCATCCATCCCCCCTGTGGTGTCTTTATGACAAACCAGGGAAAAACTGCTCTTTGATTACATACAGGAGCATACACTGATGGACGCCCCCATGGTAACACCCTGAAACAAATCCACGTGAGCGGGGTTAACCAGCATCCAGGAGCCCGGGACATGGGAACGTCACTGGTGTGCAAGCTAAAGCTGGTGAAATAAAAAATTTATGCCCAACCCTCTCTCCCTGCAGAGAGGAGGGAGCGAGTGATCGAGAAGCAATAGTGTTATGGACCAAAATACATGATTAACTTAATTCTTTGCACCCAGATATTCACGTGGTATATGATACCACGTGAATATATATATATACAATATATACAGGCTGGGCAGGCCCCTGTTCTCTTTCATCCTACAAATGTCTATAAGGTGCCAGGCCATATACCACTTGAAATCTGGGTTATGATTAAATATCGCCTCTGCTGGGGAAACTCTGACCCTGGAAGGTGAAAAGTGTATTCCAGACATGCGTGTCCCAAACGGAGCAGGCTCCCCAACCCGACTGTCCTTCTGCTGTCCCCGCATAGAGGCAGAGCCTCCAGGAAGGCCCTCGCTGAATGGTCTTAGCGGCTCACGAGTCCCTCGTTCCTGGGAACTCAGACAGCTGACGGGCTATATTTGTTCTTTTCTGTAGCACTAGACTCAGAACTAGCAGATTTTTATCTGTAATGAATTCTCAATTAGCCATACACTCCAGTATCAGGAAATTCAAGGAAAAATAAAATCTACATAGAATGCAAAGATTTCAAACAGGTCAATAATTTCAGTCTTCAGAAGAGTCTTCTACAGTTCTTTTTGCTCCCACATACAATGCTCGATAAATATCTATTGATTGTTTGAAATTAGCCACTCTTCTTTCTGAAAAGAATTTAAAACTATTTGTTTATGGTCTTTCAAATGAATTATCAAAAGTATTCATTGAGTTTCAGGCTAGGACAGAGTAACCCAGATGGTAGCAACAGAGCGGATGGTGAGAAAGGGGAGCGCACAGCATCGCAGGGAGCTGGCCTTGCGGGTCTTATAAGGACGGCTGAGGGAGCTGTATCTCCACTTTGCAGAGGCAAAAAGTGAGGCTCGGAGGGGGATCACTTTCCCACCACTGGCAGGAGGACACTGCAGAGCCAGCATCTGAACTCATGGTCTGACCCCATAGCTGGTTTTCATGCATTCCTCTTGCATTGGGAAGCAGAGCCAGAATCACACCAGAAGGACTGAAACAGCCAAGGCAGAGTGTCACAAAGCCAACTTCCTGACGCTGAGACTACTGTAAGGCCAAAACAGGCGGGTGGCAGCCCATGCATTTCTGCACAGCTGACACACCGAGAGCTCGCAGCTGCCCGTCCCCAACCTGGACGGCGACTTATGGCTACGGCCTCGGCAGCACCAGGCTTCATGAGGCTGCCTACTAGGATGGTGTCACTGTGGTCCCTACTGCTTCTTCTGAAATAATCCCTAGCCCTGTCGCTGCCAATGGCCTGAATCCCAACCCACTTGAGGCTTCTGGACAGCAGCTCCACACTCTCGTCTAGCACTGGGAACTACAAATTGCGTGGGCGATCTTTAGGCAGCTTCTGGGCACTCTGGAATGAAGCTGAGCTCATTCCCAGCTCTCTCCCCTCCTCGGTTCTGATGGTCTTGGACAGTTCCGAGTGAGGGACAGAGGTGTGCTGCAGGCACGCACCCAGAGCTGGACTGAGGACGGTGTCCAGAGGGAAACAGGGGCCCCCAGAGGAAATGGGCCCTGCGGCCGGCTGCTCTCCGAAGTACCCGGTTGGCTGCACTGCGGTTTCTCTTCCATTTTCTGCTTTGTCTTCACCATGCCCCAGATGAGTTCTTTCACGGAAAATGATATGACTGTGGCTACAGCCCAGCCGAATGTGAAAATCTGTGGTAGAGCCCCATTACTTGTGGCAAGGAGGGGACCAGGATGACAAAAGACACATTAATGTAACTTCCAAATTATGCCATTTATTTTTCCTTAATTGGATTTTACAGCTCATTGGAGAGTCTGCCTGGTTCTCTGTGGAGCTGCAGAATCTGTGGATGCTCTGTGTCCTCTGTCCTCTGTCCTCTGTCCTCTGTCAGAGACACATGCACACGCTGGGCCGGCAGAGCGCACAGGGCTTGTTTTAGTTAATTCCATCTCTGGTTTCACCATGACACACATCTGTCTCTGTGACATTCCCATGAAAAATGGTTAGGATGGACGCACAACGAGGAGTGTAAAAAGTCAGGGGCAGAAACACAGCGAGCCACTCGGACCCTTCACCTGCTCCCACCCCTGGTCCTTTTGTCTGTGTCACTCTTGACCTTTCAAAAACAAAGATGTGAAGGAAGAACCCAAGTTAGCAGGCAGCTGGTAGCTTGCACGGCACCTTCCTGCCAACTAGCAAAGGACACCCTTCCGCAAGGAGGACCAGCCCCTTCCACGCCACACCTCGGGGACGGGGAGCAGAGCCTGAGTTGCAGGCCCGCCCATCTACCCGTGTCTCCTGGCCGGGTGTCCTCGCGCCTATGCTGTGGTTCCCTAGACTCTGTGACCTTGAACGACATCAGGGATAGGAGATAAGGGGATGAGTGTCATTCAGGGGGTGGCAGAACCCCAGATGGGCTGTGCTGCTGATGGAGACCACAGCCTCTCATGGGGAGGTGCAAACACATGGCCTGGGAAAGGAAGCCTGAAGCGGTGCTTGGCTGCCAGCGCTGGGCGGGTCCTGACCCCCGCACAGCCTTCTTTCAGCTTGGACTGCGCTCCCCTCCCAAGGTGGGGATGTGAATCTGGGGTAAAAAGATACAGCATGGGTGCCGCACTAGGGCTACCCTTCCCAGCACAGGAGCCCAAGAGCTGCCTGGGACCTTGATAGCCAGTGTCATCGTGCCTCATCTCCTGACCCAAGACAGGAATTCTCAGAAGGCAGATTCACACATCCCTGATGACCGGCTGATCCCCCCAATCCAGATTCCCAATTTGTGGAAGGGGCAGGGAAGAGGAGGAGTATGGTCCTCTAGTGAAGGCTGTGCCCTTGGGTTGCGAGGGGTCGCTCGTTCAACTGGCAGATCAGGGGCCAGGCTGGGTGGACGCGTCATTTATCAAGTATATTACTGGGCTGCAGCTCACAGACTACCAAGTTGAACTCTTGGCTCTGGAAATTTAATGTGTGACAGCTGCGTGCAGCCAGTGGTGTCCAGCATTTTAAAAAGGTCAATTAAGAAACGGCTGATGGTGGTGCAGCTAATGACAGCCCACAGGGGTGAGCAGGGCCACGTAAACAGAAGGGCCGAGACGTATATTCCTGGAATTGAAGTGTCGAAGTGAAGTGTGGTGGGGAGGAAATCTATTGTCACGAGCCATAAAGCACTTCTGAGCGTTGCAGGGGCGAGCAGTACAGCTGTTGCTCCCCTGGGCATCGCGGGGGGCGCCTGTGCACAAGAACCAGGGCTCAGTCCGACAAAGGGAGCACCTGCGTTGGCTCACCGAGCCGCAGGCCAGCTCTCACCCTCCTTGCCCGCTGCCTGCGCTTCTGCACTTTTCACGCTCCCGTTCGGGGGAGCAAGGGGATCTCAGAATGTGGGTCATGTTCTAGAAATCCGTGTTTTCAGCAAGCCCAGAAGCTGGGCTCCCGCTCCTCCAGTGAGTGTGGGTGGGGTGACAGCCAGCATTTCCTCCGAGGCCACCAAAGCTGGCGCCGGGCGGCCCTGGACGCCGAGACGATGAAAGGGCTACGTGAAGCGCTCAGGAAGGATCTATGTGGGCCTGCCACAGAACTGGCTCATGGGCAGGCAAGGCGCTGTGTGGGGCTTTTTTAAAAAAAAAATCAGACAAAGGGGTCTTAGACTAAGTGCAGGGCTTCTAGGACAGGCTTTTTTCCCCCCCACATCTACCTGTCAAGCTAGAAATTCAATAGAGCAATGAGAATGCTAATTGATATGCAAAACAGGTCTAAGGTTCCTAGAAATGTCTAATGATCCTCCAGTTCATTATGAATGCGGAATTAAGACATGTGCTAAATGGGATGGGAGTGGGAACACCAACCTTTTCGCTTCTCCTTTTTAAAACCTCCTTTGGAGAGCTCACAGGTTTTATGATTAAAAAAGAAAGAGTATTGCAATCAGTAGGGTTTGTCTTTCACACACTGGATATTTATTATTAGAAAATAGCTTCTATCAGCTGTCAGTACCAAACAAGTCAGAAGGAGCGTGCTTCTCACCATAATTTTTTTCTTTAATGATATTTAAATAAACAGCTCACCGTGTGGAGAGTTGCCACACCTTTTTTCCCTTTAAAAACTGAGTAATTAAATGAGGTTTAGTACAAAACATCCTTCAAATATGACTTACTCTGCAGTCATTATGCTGTCTCTTTGAATAAAGGATATGAAAGAGATGAAAAAGACCACTCAAGCTATCAAATTACCCCCGGAGAATCCACATTAGAAACTGGGAAACAAATAAACTAACCCAAATAAAACTCATCCAAACCAAGAAACCAGTTTTTACATTGGCTTTTTGATTCTGTTTGTCATCTAAGTTTAATATATATATATATATTTTTTTTTTTGAAAGAGTAAAAAAGGAAGAATTGAACTGCATCCTTAGCAGGACAACCCTCCTCACATGTTAAAGAGGTGTTCGGAAAATTCCATACAGTATCTGCTAAATAAACATGTTTGGCAGCTTAGCAAATATCATATGATTGCAGCATCCATGATTTGAAGTAAAACAGCATTCACTTTCTTCTGGTGGAGTTCATTGCTCGGGCGATGTGCTAATGCGGATCTGGATGTTCTTTGACCCACAAGATTAAGGGAGGGCTTCGGGCGGCTCAGTACATGGCCCCAGTACAGAAACTTCCAAACAACAAATCCACCACACAACCACACGAACATTAAACAATTGTCTCCTTTGAGTTCCTCTTGCCCGAGTGAAGGCCCAGCAAGGACTGCTGGTTAGAAGGTACGTTGACAGACTTTGGAATGAGGAGAATCACCCTCTGATTGGTCCGACGCCATTCATTGTACAATCGACAGTGGTACCTAAATGACACCTGGGGGAGGGAGGGGAGGAAAAAGAGACGGTACGTGGATAGGCCGAAGTAGACAGTCGACTCAAGACACAGGCGTCATTACAAATAGCTTTAGAGGGCCAGCAGCCGGACAGCAGGGCCAGAGCCCTGGCAACACCGTTCTAGCCAGCAGTTGAGTGCTGTGAGGTTGGCGCCAGCCCAGGCACCACATGTACAAACACAGCAGGGCTTGTATGCTGGCTCACGCCACACAGTAGGCAGAATCAGGCTATGAACAGGAAAACGAGGTTATTTCTGGGTTTGGATTTATTTTTGGGTAGTAATATTTGGAGCTCCAAACTATCCATACTGAAGAAGGCTGGCTGGGGGCAGGAGGACACAACAGATACACCACTGGCCTTTGTCCAGTTATGTGGACAGAGAGGTGTTCTAGGACTTCATGTGTTTCTCCTGCAGCTTAGATACTGCACAACTCAAAGGACTCCTTTGTACCAGACTGTGGACAACTTGCAAAGCCATATCCGGTGGTCGGCATGGGACCGAGATCTCTGTACATCACCGTACTTGTTTTTCTCTTCCCTGCACTAGGAGCACCCTGACAGTGAGACGTGCTGTACTCATTTTTGCATGCCCAGCAAGCACGTACTTGGCAGTGCTTGGCACTTAAGAAGTTGCTCAGGACAGTTTGCTAAATGAATGAGTGAAAGAAAGAAAGAATGAGAGAAAGAAAGAATGAATATCCTATGTATTCTGATCACAACGATTTCCTCAAACTCGAGCTTAATTTATGTAAACACCTGACAGTACAAGTAGTGAATCCTATGGTCAGTTGTGACATGCCTACATTCCAAAGTGCTTTTTTTTTTTTCTTTCTTTTTTTTGGTCTTTTTTGAGACAGGGTGTTGTTATGCAGTTCAGGCTGGTCTCAAACTTGCAAGGATTCTCTTGCCTCAGCCTCCCCAGTGCTGAGATTACAGGCGTGCACCACCACGCCTGGCAATGCTTGTTATTTTTATGTAAATACATCATAATGAGACACTCAGCCTGCTTGTTTTGGAGAGGCTCAGAAGAATGGATGCCTGCTCAGGAAATTCAGAGTTTATACTTTTGAAGATGTACTTTAAAAACAAGGAGGTAGATTACAGTTTGAGATTACAGATATCTAGGTAAGTGCTGGAAAAGAAGGTGCCCATGAACTCAGAGTGAGCCAGCACCCCTACCTAGGCTATCCAATTGTCTCCGGGCAGGCACTCTGTGTAGACCCCAGTGAGTGTCCACAGAGGTCAGAAAGTGGGCTGACACAATGCTTTAGGCTCAGTGTTTCTGCAAGTAGCGTACTGACCTTGACCAGAAAGGGCTTGTTACCTCTTATAGCAGGATCATGTAATTCAAGGCCACTTGCTCAAATGACTGAGGCAAAGAAGTACATGCCACAGGCCAAGTTCCAGAGAGATTTGGGTAGGAAAATATAAGCTTTTAAACTAACACGGGTGTGCTTTCTCCAAAAGGCCCTGAATGTGCCACAATGGATTAGCTCTTCTCTTTTCTTTCTTTCTTTTAAACTTGATTCTCATATATCTATTCTGTCCTTCTGCTGCTTCGTGCTACTCAAGAACAGGTGAGGCGGGCTGGAAAGCCTGCTGTCCAGAGCCGAAACAGGCAAGAGGTGAAACGCAGACAAGTACAAATGAAGAACTCTGGCGGTAAAAGCAGTCTGCAGTCTGGAAATGCCACAGGAGAGCTGGATTTTAAATCAAGAGCCCCTCCCTCCCTGAGGCTGAGGCTTGGTGCTCACTCGGCCTCAGCAATCCGAGATGCTGAGGCTACAAGAGGCCACGGGCTCTGGGGCCGGGCACACAGGGCTGGAGGCCCCTTGGCAGACTGGGTGAGGGTGTTTGTCGTCAGCAAGCTTTAGTTCCCTTGTTTGTAAGATATGCATATTGCTATCTACGATAATGAATATGAAGCACTTAGCAGAGAGTCCTGCACACATGTTCATGTGCTTGGTCTCTTATTCTTCGTGCGCTAAATATATAAATGTGTTAGATGCAGGGAAACTGAAAAGAGAGAGACTGAGCCACTTCCTTTAAGGCTCTGCTGTGTGGCCATGGAGCAGCAGCAGGACGCATCTCCTGGGAACTTGTTAGAATATAAAAATTCTGGGGCCCACCCAGACCCGAGGAATCAGAGTGCCTTTTAAGAAGATCCCCAGGTGACTCGCATGTACATCCAAGCCTGAGAAGTGCTGCTTCAAGGAGCACCAGGCGACACTGGCTTAGCAGGTCTCCCTGTCCCTTGGCCAGGAAGACTTTTGTGTGTGGAGATAAAAAGATGAGATCTTATTCATCTGTCTAGTTGCTGTTAACTACCGTAGTCTACAGGCAAACTGAATCAACAAGAGAGCATCATCTGAGGACAATTCCTAATCGGGAAAATGAAGGAAGTTAAGCACAGGGCAGAGGAGACCGTAGGGCTGCAGCTGTCCTGGATTCACGCACGCCCATCTCTAGACGCTCTAAGACGCTGCCTCCTCTCAGCGCACTACCATAGACAAGGTTTCATTTAGCAAAGAGGCAGTGAGGAAAAAGCAACAGAAGCCTAAAAACTGCTGTAATACTAGTAACATTAAGAATTCAAGTAAATCTTAAATTTTTGGTTTTACGGATACAGGAAGAAGGGCATAGGACAATTATTTTTAAAATATTAATCCATATGGGATGAATTTCTTGAAGTTAACTCATTTATTCTTGTACAGGACACTAGCCTATCAGGTACAAGGTCACTTTACAGTAAGCTGCCATCACCTGAATGGTAGAGAAAGTGCCCACCTCTCCCCAGCAGGGAGGTAACTGAGGCCACGGAGAAGGTTTGCTGTGAAGCCAGTGTAGGCTTTGGGAAATCTAACTACATCTTTCTGTTTTGCCCTTTCTCTTGGAAAACAATGGTACGACTTAAGAGCACGGATGGGCCAGGGCTCGGTAAATTGCCTTCCCTGCGCTTTAGCTCACATCTCCCTGAGACAGAGGAGGACTGTCGGAGGACACTGGTGCTGAGAAACACTGCTCAGTGGAGCAGCTGCCTGCAGGCTGTGGGGAAGGTGTCTGAACCACCTGCCAGGGTTCCGCCACGCACCCTGGACACATCCCTGCACAGCAAGAATTGAAACCATCAGCCCTGGGACTTGGAGCCCACCTTCGAGCAGCTGGGCCCCTCACTCGTTTTGTTTGTGTGAGGCCCTGGCTACAGTGTGACACAGTAAATGAAAAGACTTCCAACACTGTGGGGCCTGGCTGGCAGCCTGAGCTGGGGCTGAGACCACGTCCTTTCAGGGTTTCCACACTAACATGGACTCAGCTCTCTGCCAGCTCCCTTTGTGGCTGTCCGTGGCCTTCAAATCATTCCTGACACAGTGGTCCCCCACCCCAGGACCACTCCCCTAGGGTGCACATGGCTGAAGGTCTGGCTTCCAGGGTCCCGGGTGAGCTTCTGGAGCACACAAGGGTACAGAGGACAGGACTCCCAGAGCTCGTGGCCCCCGAGCCAGGGAGCACGTCCGAAGGCACTTTGAAATGGGCAGCGTGATGCGTATCCCTCTTTGTAGCACTGGGTACAGAGGTCCTTCCAGGAACGCTGCTCTGAGGAGCCAGGCTTGGACTGACACCGTGTTTGTTTATCTAAGACATTTTCACAGCATATTCTCCTTAAGCTTGACAGCTTGTTTACAATGGGTTTCTGCCGTAGGGCAGTTTCCAAGTGCTGTCAGCTCCTGAATTACTGCGCTTGCCAGGGCTGCTCAGTACAGCATTTATCTGGGAAGGAGTTATTCTATATTCGGTAACCTATTGCTGAGCTGACTCCACAACACGGTCTTCACGCTCGTCAAAGGGGAGAAATGCCTTTCTTTCCCTCCTGCCACTCTGCATTTTATAGAAGGCTGGGGGAGGGTGGAAGTCAGGTGGCAGAAAAACCACAGAAAGCTCAGGCCAGCACAGTGCTGGCGGCTGGGATATGTGTTCTCAGGCGTTGTCCTAGCAAACCTGCAGAATAACCCTGACCCATGGGATGCTTTTCTCCGTGTTTTGTATAAGAGGAAGGATGAGGGAAAAGGTTAAGTCCTATTTGAAGGCACACAGCTAGTAGGATGCTACATCTTGGGCTTACACACCGGCCCTTTGGATTCTAAGTACATGTGCTGTAACTGTACAGCACTGCCTCCTGGAAATACTTCTGGAATGAAGTATTTTATTTTCCTAAAAGAGCCTAGTCTAGGTGCCTTTTCCACCCAAATCTTCCTGCGATGGGAGATGAAAGAGGGTCTCACCCAGTTTTTCTACATCGTTTTATTTTTCCTTTTCTCCCTTTCCCCCTTTCCTTGCTGCTCCCCCTTTCCTGCTTGTTAGGTGAATGTGCACTCCACAAAGCAGGTTTTCAAAAGGACTTTAAATTAATTTCCGAAGCATAGCATGCCGGTCTCACTTTCACCCACCCATCATCACTTGAACTCTTCTAAGAAAAGGCACATACTAGAAAATGTCTAAATATGGTAAAAACTTAGACTTAATTATTATTTTCTAAAGTATTTCCTTATGTGTCCCTTCACGTTAATCACACACCACTAGGGAAGATGGCCATTCCTCACGTCACCACTTCACAGACAGGAGACTGATGCTCAGAGACCTGAAGTGACTTCCCGGGGCGGGGCAGTGGACGGGGAGTAAATGTAGTTACACTATTTAATTTCTTATTTCCCACCCTTCTCTCATCACAGTGGACCAGCTTCACTGTTTGATTCACAGTGAGCCAGGACTCACGTTGGAAGCACACACTTTTAAAGGAGGCAATGCTAGTTTCGTTCGGGGATTCGTTAGCCTCGGAACACAATGTTGAAATGAGCCAGGAGACACAGGTAAGTGCTTTGCATTAGAGTATTGCCAGTCTACCAGCGCTTAAGCCATGCTCTCTTCCTAAGACTGAAATGTGTACCCTGACTATCTGAACACTCCGAGGAGCGGGGAGAGACAGAGCTGGTAGAGCCCTGGGATGAGCGAGAGAAATGAACAGGGTCCTGAGAGCGGCAGCTGATGGAACAGGGCTTGGGAGACAGAGGAAGCGAGGAAGTGTGAGGCCTGGAAGCAGCTTCCGAATGCTGACGCTGTGCTAAGTGATATGGAGCAATGCACTGTAGACAGGAAATACCTACTGAGCAGCAATGCAGCATGCTCGGAGCAGTAGCAGCCAGGCACAGGAGAGCTATGCCAGGAGGTGGGGGGCTGGCTTTGGAACATATCCTAGGACATGGGGATGTCCCTCCCTTCCCACAGCTCCCATAGGGAAGCGTAAATAGAGAGCAACTGCCCTTTGTGGGTGCTGCCAGTGGGGGCCCAAGCGATCAACTTGCTGCATGAAGTTAAAAGAATGAAAAAAAAAAATGTTTAAAAAACTCTTCCTCATATCCAGCAGGAGCACTTGTCAGGGAATGGCTTTTCTTTGGTGGCAGCTTCTCAGCTAGATAAATGAGTGCTTTTATGGGCAGCAGAGTCAATATCCCAACACACGGAATAATCATCAGGCGAAGTGCAGCTCCACATCCGACAAAGACTTCAGGCTTCGTCAGGACGTCAGGGGAGAAGAACCAGCAGGGAGGATTCATGACCTGTGCAGGCGGTGGCAGCAGCGGCCGCCAAGTGCATCATTCATAATATACTACAATGCCAGCAAAAGGGAGAAACACAAGCACGAGGAAGACACCGCCGCGGCTCCTAAGGGATGGCAGCCCTGCATGACTAGAGGAGAGAAACACCCGAGGCGTGCGCCACCAATGGCTGCTCAGAAGAGCTGCGCTTTCCATCTGTTCTTTCTCGCAGTTCTCTCTCTCTCTCAGGCGCACGCGCGCGCACACACACACACACACACACACACACACACACACACACACCCAAATCACTACTGGGCAGGTGAGATGTGCCCCTGACACGAGGAAAGGCTCTGCCGGCTGTGAGTTCGCTGGTGGCTGCTGGCCTGCACCCCCGCCACGGGCCATACTTACTAGTGTCCAGAAGAGGTAAATAGTGAAGAGTGCGACAGTGAGTGCAATCAGTCCAACGGCTTCGAGCCGACTGCTAAAGTGCAGGTGGTCCACGGCGCCCCGCAGGCACAGCCAGCCCGAGATGGTGGCCAGGGGGGTTATGAACAAGAAGCACACCATGTCTCCAAACAGAGTCCGCTTCTCATGCTGTGGGCCAGGGTTTCTCAGCCACTGCCGGAAAAGGGAGACAGAAAAGCAAGGAGAAGGTTAAGTGCCAGTGTGGAGTGAAGACACACTGCTCTAAAGTGGTCTTTGCCTTCAGGATCCCGGAAGAGGCACTTCTGAGCTATTCTGAGAACAGGACAAATACAGGCATTCCCATGCCCTCACCCCCTGAATACTAATGATCACCATAATAATAACAATGAGAGCTTGCAGTACCCTAGTAGGGACATCCGAATCCCAGTGCTCCTATGTGAAGGCAGAAGGATGTTACTCTTGGAAGGTGGCACACCTTGGATAGCATCCCTAGAGCACCACACGAAGGGCTTGCTCCCTGGGGTGGTGGTACAGGAGATGCTGTGAGCCTGTAGGAAGTGGGACCTCATGGGAGGTCCTTAGGTCATTGGGGACTGGTCCTTGAAGGGAGTCTGGGGACCCAAGTCTGATCTTTCAGCTTGCTTACTCAATTTTCTGTTGCACACTGCTGCCATGATGTGCTGCCCTCACCAGAGGACAGAAACAATGGGACTGGGTTTGAGGCCTGAACTGTCAAACCAGGAACCAGAAAAGACTTCTTCTCTCTCTCTTTTTATTTTAAAGAGAAAAAACACTAACAACAATTTTACAAAATTTTAAAACAAGATAGTAGAGAATAACAACGGTAAGTACATTGCTTATTGTTATCTTCAAAGTAATCACTCAGATTATAAGATATAGGCAGGAAAAATCGATCAAATGATGTAAGCACAAACTTTTCTTTTCAGTGAACTAATAGAAATTAGTAGTATAGCCATCTTAACTACACACACACACACACACACACGTTTATCTTTTCCCTTCCTTCTTTTCTCTTTTCCCCATCCCAGTTTTTTTCTCCTTTTGAACAGTTTCTTCCCATTGCCCAATGTCTGTTGTAACATTTTGGCTCTTATTTAGTCTTTCAGTTTCTTACACTAGGGACACAATACCATGTTTACACATGCGAGACTGACTTATTTCACTTATGAGTATGGTCTCTAGTTGCATCCATTTACCTATAACAGTCTCAAGTTTATCCTTCTTTATAGTACTCCATTGTATAAAAGACCACATCTTCTTTATCCATTCCTCGGTGGATAGGCATGTGGATTGTTTCCAAGATTTAGCTATTACAAATTGTGCTGTTACACACATGAGTGCACATATATCACAGTGGTTATGTTTTTAACTCTTCTGGGAAGATACCCAGAAGGGGAGTAGCTGGGTGGAATGGGACCTCTAATCTTAGTTTTTTTTTTAAGGAATCTCCACACTGATTTCCACAGTGGATTCACCAGTCTACACTCCCACAAACAGTGGAGAAGGGTTCCTTTTACCCCACAGCCCCTACAGCATTTGTTATTGGTTAATTTCTTGATGGCAGCCATTTTTTCTAGGGTGAGATGGAATCTCAGTTTTGTTTTAATCTGCATCTCTCCAATGACCAGTGGTGTTGAACATTTTCTCATGTATTTATTTGCCACCTGTATTTCTTCATCTCACCCATTTTTGGATTGGATCATTGAATGGCCTGGATTGGATCACTGAGGGGCCTGATATTTTTAAATCCTTATGTGCTCTAGATAGAAGTCCTTTGTCTGAGGTACTGTTGGCTAAAATTTTTTCCTACTCTATGGGTTGTCTTTTCACTCTGTTGATGGTTTCTTTCGATGTGCCAAAGCTTTTTGATAAGATGAGATCCCAGTTGTTGATTCTTTGGAGTATTTCCCATGCAGTTTGGGTTTTGCTCATTAAGTCTCTGCCTACCCCTATGTCTTTAAGATTCCTATCTACTTTCTCTTCCAGTAGATTTAGTGTTTCTGTTTTAATATTTAGATCTTTGATCCATTCTGACTTTAGTTTAGTGCATGGTGATAGACATGGGTAGTTTTAGTCTTCAGCATGTGGAAAGCCAGTTTTTCCAGCACTATTTATTAAAGAGGCTATCTTCTTTCCAATGAACATGTTTTTCCAGTGAACACTTTGTCCAAGATAAGGTGGCTGAGTGTGTTTGAAGTTGTGTCTCCATCTTGTAATCTGTTCCACTGACCCTCAGATCTATTTTTTTGCCAGTACCATGCTGATTTTATCACAGTAGCTTTGTAGTATAATTTCAAGCCAGGGATTGTGGTGCCCCCTGCCTTGCTTTGTTGCCCAGAACTGCTTTTGCTATTCTAGGCATCTTCTGGTTCCACATGAATTTTAGGAAAATTTTCTCTAGTTCTGTGAGTTATGCTAATGATATTTTGATCTGGATTGCATTAAATCTGTACAACAATTTTGGGTGTATGGCTATTTTTACTATGTTGGTTCTTCCTATCCATAAGCAGGGAATATCTTTCCAATTTCTGAAATCCTCTTCAACCTCCTTTTCCAGAGTATTGTAATTCAATGTATAGATCTTTTACTTCCTTTGTTAGATTGATTCCTAAGTATTTCATTTTTTGGATGCTATTGTGAAGCGTGTGGTTTCCCTAATTTCTTTCTCAGTGAGTTTCTTGTTTGTATACAGGAATGCTATTGGTTTTTGAGTGGTGACTTTGTATCTAGTGAAGTTACTGAATTTGGTTATTAAATCTATAAGCCTTTTGGTGGAGCTTTTGGGGTCTTCTATGTAAACTATCATGTCATGTGCAAATAATGGTAATTTCTCTTCTTCTTTTCCTGTCCTTATTCTTTTTATTTCTCTCTCTTGTGTAATTGCTCTGGCTGTTTCCAGAACTATATTTAATAGGAGTGGTGATAGTGTACATTCTTGTCTTGTTCCTGATTTTAGAATGAAAGCTTTGTCCATTTAGTATGATGTTGGCTGTTGGTTTGTCATAGATGGCTTCTATCAGGTTGGGGTAAAGACCATCTATTCTGATTTTCTGTAGGGTTTTTTTTTTTTTAATCACGAATGAGTGTTAGACTTTGTCAAAAGCTTTTTCTGCATCTATTGTGACAATCATGTGATTTTTGTCTTTGGCTTTGTTGATATGTTGTATTACATTTACTGATTTGCATATGTGAACCATCTCTGCATTCCTGGGATGAATCTAACTTGGTAATGGCATATAGTCTTCTTGATGACTTGCTGCATTCTATTTGCTAGTGTTTTATTGAGTACCTTTGCATCTAAGTGCATCAGGGAGATTGGTCTGTAGTTCTCTTCTTTGGTGGGTGTTTCTCTGGTTTTGGTACCACAGTAACACTTGCGTCCAGGAATGAATTAGGGAGTATTGCTTCCCTTTCAACTTCATTAAAGAGTTTGAGGAGTATTGGCATTAAATCTCTAAATTTCTTGTAGAATTCAGCCATGAATACATCAGGACCTGGGCTTTTCTTTGTTGGTAAGTTTTTAATTACATTTTTAATCTCATTAACTGATATTGGGTTATTCAGAATTTCTACATTTTCTTGATTCAGCTTGGTAATTCATATGTATCTAGGAATCTGCCCATTTCTTCTGTGTTTTCCATCCTATGAGAGTAAAGATTTTCAAAGTAGGTACTGATGATCTGAATTTCCACAGGATCTGTAGTTATTTCACCCTTTTCATTCCTCAATGCATGAACTGTAGTCTTTTCTTTCCTTTTTTTGCATAAGCTTGGCTAAGGGTTTATCAATTTCATTTCTTCTTTCAAAGAACCAACTCTTTGATTCATTTTTTTTTTATTGTTTTCTTAGTCTCCATTGTGTTAATTTCTACTCTGATCTGCATAATTTCCTTCCCTGTATGGGCTTTGGGCTTGTCCTGGTCTTTTGTAAAAGCTTGAGGTCCAATATTAAGTTGTTTAATTGTGCTCATTGTTTTCCTGATGTGAGCATGAACCGCTGTAAATTTCCCTCTTAGGAGGGAAAAAGCTTTCATTACCTCCCATGAGTTCTGGTATATTGTATCTGCATTCTTGTTTAGTTGTAGATATGGTTTAATTTTTTCTTTAATTTCATCTGTGACCCACTGGTTATTTAGGACGGTGTTATTTCATGTCCATGTAAAACATTCATCTTTAATAAATTCACTTCCACAGATACTTTGTTGTAGTAATGTGAAACTGACTACCACATAAAGTAACAACTGACATGTGAGAAGTCTGGTCAAAGCCTTCCAGGATCTTCGCCTTGAGAATGTGTGCAGAGGAGAGTTAACCCAGCAGGGCTGTGCTGCTCGAACCCTGCAGATTCCCAAGAAAGGCACGTTTGCATGACTGGCTCTGAGCTGTCTCCTGAAAAAAGAGCTGAGTCCTTAAGAGTGTTCTGTTTGATTAGAGCATTTTGCATACCTGAAGAGAACACTTGATTATAGCTTAAATTTCCAACAGTATGGAATTGTCAAAATAAATTATGGAATTTAATTAGAGTATCACATTGTAAATTCAAGTGATAATGTAATTTTAAATTTACTGATATGAAATATTTTTCAGCAGAAAAAATTCTACTGGACAGAATGCACACTATGATCCTGTATATGTAATAATGTATCTACACAGACATAGACATTTACGTTTACATAGTGCTTTATATAGACAAAGACCAGAGGGAAATATGGCAAAACAGTGGTTATTCTTGGTGGTGGAATTACGAGTGGTCTTTAATATTTTTGTTATTTATCTTTTTATTTTTCTAAAATCATCATGGGTTACTTGTGTAACTATAAATATGTAACTTGTATACAAAACATTCATGCACACATACATAGCATGACAATGATAGACATGTGAGTAATCAGGGGAGGTGGGTGTGTTTAGCTAGTGGACAGCAAGCTAAAGCAGTAAAAAGACCAAACGATTACTGAGCTGTGGCTGGGGCAGGCTCAGTGCTGGAAGCTTGGAGTTCATTATGTACTATGTCACTGAGTCCTGTAACTAGGTGTTACTGGGATCTCCATTTCATAGATGTGGATAATGGGGAGCAGAGCATTTAATAACTCAGTGGGGATTCAAACCAGCCTTTTTGCTCTTTGCTTTCCATATTAACATTTTCTTTTTGCACCAGTGGTGTATGTGTGTGTGTGTGTGCATGCACACACATGCACACACACTTGCATTGTGAAAAGTTTTTGCAAACTCTCAC